AGGTCTATTTTTAATTTTCTGAGGAACCTCCACACTGCTAGGAAGGAACACTTTGATCGCGACTGACAGTGCATGGGTGCTCCCCTCAGCCATGCAGGGGAACTTTTCAGGCAGACGGAGCACAGGTGCAAGCGCCCCAAGAAGGGGGCGAGCCCAGCATATCTGAGGAGGGGTGCCGAGAGGCGGGATAAAGCTGTGCAGTGCCTCTAGTGTGGGCAGGTAGGGTTGGGTCCTCGGAAGAAGAAAGACGACAGGTGGCTTTCTTGACGTAGAAGCTGTTTTTGGCCCCTGGCCATCTGGTGAGCTGTACCTGCCTGTCGCTACTCGCCCAGAGCATGTTTCTAGCAGAAGGGCCTGGAATATGTCAACATTGCGGAAGAACAGACCTCAGCAGCTAATGATTTTAAGGGAACAAAAGAATGTAAGCACAGCCAGCCACCAGCAGGCCAGCAGAGGGAACAGGCGGTCTGACATAGCTCACGGCTTTCTGGGCTGGGCAGGAGGGGCGGGGAGGGCCTGGAAGCCTGTGGTCCCGGAGAGCCTCAGCTGGGGTCACCAGGAGATGGGAGGGAGGGGACACCCTCTGACGCCGTGCCCTCCAGGGGAAGATCCCCCAGGAAAGTCAGAGGCCTGAGCACATGGGGACCCAAGGAGGCCAGACTGCGGGCAGTAGGATTTTGGAAGGAGATCGGGGCATCTGTTCTGTGTCCAGTTGGTGACGTCATTTAGAGATTCTCAGAAAATGTATTTGAAACCTGGAAAGAGGGAACAGGATCTAGCAGTATTCTTCCAGCATAACCCCGGGCTCGGCCTCTGAGGCAACTGGGGACTCTGCCCGGGCAGACTTCCCTCCTGGGTTTTTGTAGGTGGACCAGCTATCCCCCAAGGTCACAGTTCAGGGCCCTGCTAGACCCGTTACCCAGCAAACCTGCCCCCACACTTCTCTGTTACACCGATCACACAGACCTAGCTTTGCCGATGCCAGCAAGACTGGTCCTAACACTTCACTGGCTACCTTCTTAGCTAAGGAGTTAAATAAAATCTTCGACACACATTCATTTACTTTGCCCGGAGAACTGCAACCTGACCAGTTCATGCAGAACTGGGGTTGTGGGGACAGGTCAGGCCGAGTTCTGAAGGGGAAGGTTGCCAGCAAGTCCACAGGAAGTACTGACCACGCCACAAGACGGGGTGACCGTATAGCCAGCCCTGTGCCACCTGCACTGTTTCATTTGGTTTTTACAACCACTTCTATCAGTAATGTTTATCTCCATTCTACAGATGGGGAAACTGAGGCAGCGTGTCTGCGTACCTTCCCCAGGGTCCCAGGACTCGGATTTGAACGCAGGCGTTGGCTCGAGATCCTTCACTCTGAACCAGTGGTTCTCCATGTGGGGACATTTGGCAAAGACGGGGGACCGTCGCAACTGAGGGTGGGGTGCTACTGGCGTCTGATGGGTGGGGCTGGGGCCCCGCTAAACACCCCGCAGTGCCCCCCACAGCAAAGAGTCACCAGGCCCCACGTGTCGTAGTGCTGAGGTTGGGAGAGACACGGTCACCCCGCACAGTAGCTCGGCCCCTCCTCCACACCCCACGTGCTTGGTGGCCCTTCGCACGCCTGCAGTTATCCACTCGCTTGTGACGATTTATTCAGTCTACACCCCGGGCCCTACATCATCCGCTCCACGTCTCGTTCCTCACGATGCTTGCGGCGCTCACGCTAACGGCTGGTGAACTAAATGCCCGATAAATATTCGCTCACAATTTATTCTACGATTTCTGATATACCTGTGCTCTCTTTGGAAAAAATCTCAAGGCCGTGTGACAGAGAGAGAGAATGAGACAGCGTGACGTTTGCATATTACAGATTTCTGCTGCACGTGAGGCACGGGATTGCATTTAGCCTAGGAAATCAGAGCAGAGAACCTGAAGCCAGTGTCTGAATTTCAAGCCCCGACTGAGGCTAATTTTTCATTGTCCTTGAAGGTAATCAGGCCTGTGGAAACAGCATCACCAAATTGACCAAATGAGATTTTCAATTAACTCAAACAGATGGCTTAAATTTTCCAGGTGACTTTCCATATTAATTCAGTGAGTTTGCTGGACCAGGCCCCGGGAGGCTTGGCAGGGATGGGGGCTGAAAGGAAAACAATGAAATATTGGATCTTCAGGAGAGGAGGCAGAGCGATGACCGGAACTTTTCTTCTACCCCAGCAGAAGCACATGAGCCAGATCAGTTCAACACCCACTACCCCCCCCCCGACCAGCATATACCAAGGGCTCTGGGACTCCAGGCACCGGTGGCTCGGGGGCCAGCTTCATTAGCCTCTGGGGACATTGCAACCCTCTGATATGACTGAGGAGACCAATCCTGGGCAGGGAGAGAGGCCGCGAGGAGCCATTTACAGAGCCCAGAATTCTGTGCTTGGTCTGTGTACCTGAGGACCTCACAGCATTTTATTATCCACGGAGAAGAAAGCGTTAAAGAATCTCTGTGGAATTTTCCACAGGCTCACGCTTCTGAGGGTCTTACTAAGTCACCGCAGGAGAGGACCACACCATCCACAGAATACCAGCAGTACCCAATGCCAGAGCGCCCAGCCCTGGGCAGGGCCTGTGAATGGTGGTCGGCTGGCGAGAGGCTGGATGGGGCCACAGCTCCTGTCCTTCCAGAAGCTGCCAGAAGTGACTAATAATGTGGAGTTCTAGGGGCGCCTGGGTGGCGCAGTCGGTTAAGCGTCCGACTTCAGCCAGATCCGCGATCTCATGATCCCATTGAGTTGAGCCCGTGTCGAGCTCTGGGCTGATGTCAGAGCCTGGAGCCTGTTTCGATTCTGTCCCTCTCTCTCTGCCCCTCCCCCGTTCATGCTCTGTCTCTCTCTGTCCCAAAAATAAATAAACGTTGAAAAAAAAATTAAAAAAAAAAAATAATGTGGAGTTCTATAACTGGATAGTAAAGGCCTGGGCTAGAGGTTATGGAAAATTTGCGGTGGGTGTCCTCTGAGTCTCAGAATGAATCGTTCTTGGCTTCACTGGGCCCATATCTAGACTTACGGAGATCTATCGGCACTATGGGTCTGGTGTCTGTACGGTGGGCTCCCCTTTCTTTCAGTCTCCCATCAATATCCCCCATAGAGAAGCTTGCTGCTGATATGGGGGGTTCTGGAAGTCTATTCAGTCCCCAGGCTGTTCAAACTTTGGTGATACTCAGACCACTTCACTGAGATAGACCCTACTCAGCAGTTTTGATTAACAGAAAAAAAAAAAATCTACCCAAAGCAGACGGTAATGATAACAGGCCAGTTACCTTTGCCAATGCGCTCTAATACCTACACAGGTTATCTTAGCAACCAGGAGAAGTGGGTTACTAGAGCAGGATTTACCACCAGCTCCTCGAGCTGCCCAGGTACGCCATTGTTCTAAAGTTCTCTCTTAAATGGGGCACCATTTACAGAAAGTCTCATCATGTGGATTTTCTTGGTTAAGGCTATATGCATTCATCCAATGGGTGTTCTCCAGCGTCTGCCTGTGTGAGACAACGTGTCCCTGCTGGAGTCTTGCGGCTGACCTGACATGCCCCTTCCCGAGGAGCCCAGCCTCCCAGGGAGAGCAGTCTGCTCCTGACTAAGGAAAGAAATACTGGTACCAGTTGGACTTGTATTCCTTTCCAGAAAAGTGAATCATGAAGCAGGAAGCAAAGCTTTGGACAATGCACCTTTTTCTTGGATGTTGAAGAGAGCAGTAAAATAAATCTGGAGAGACCACGTGAATGAACGTTCATCTTATTTTTTTAGCATAGTAGAAACAAGGAAGCAAACCTCATCCGTGGATCATCGGGTGGCATCATCTCCAGATCGTGGGTGGGTCCATTTAAGCCAATGACGTGCAGGGAAATGCCGGGGTTTTCACTTCCAGCCTGGGAAGCAAAGAAGACCAGGTGTGAGTAAACCTTCCTGCGGGGACAGTGCCTCAGTTGCCGCACGAAGGACCAAAGGTAACTGGGGTGCCATTCCTTCCCCAGGAACCCTACCCTCTTCTTGTTCCTCCAAGTGCCTCCCGATTATCAACCTGGGAGGGGCAAGGGATGGGACAAGGAGCGGGACAGAAATTCCTGGAGGCCATGCCAGGAGGCAGCGCGCCCAAGGGCAGAGACACGGGTGGGGAAGGCTGATGAATGTTGGCCGAGGCCCAGCGGTGGGGAAAGGGAAGTCCCTGGAAAAGGTGCAGAAAAGGTGCTGGGTGGGTTCTGCTCTGCGTCACTGCTGCTCTGTGCTCCCTCTTCGGGCGGAACGGCACTGCCGGGATGGGACAGGGGAACACGTGGCATTATTTGTCAGCGACACGCCGGGTCTGACGGATACCCTTGCTTCTCTGCTCCCTGCATGAAGACGTGTCGGGTTCACCACAATAGGGCGGGAGTCTGGCGGGGTCACCAACTCATGCCTCTGATTTGGGAGACAGTACAACGGGGCAAGGGGTGCCTGAGTTCTGTTGGCTAGAATATGCCGCCTTTCCATCCGAATACAAACCATCCGGGCTTCTGTAATTCCAATTTCACCCACCCCAGAGCTCAGTGTGAACTCCAGACGGATCTCAGGTCACCACTCCTAAGTTGGGGAAACGCCCATAACAGGGTTCACAGGGGAAGCCACTGGATCCCTGGCTGTTAGAGGAGTCAGGCAGCCACTGGCCCCACTGTGTGCGTGGGGGGTGGGGCGTTCCAGGGTCAAAAGAGCCTGCATTTAGTTAACCGTTTGCGACTAAAACCCCGGCCCCTTCCACAAGATGTAGAGTCCAGTCCAATGAAGCCCAGCTGAAAAGGGAGAATTCTGTCAACAGGCAGGTCCGTGTGGCAGGCTGACATCAAGTGCTGTCGGAGTGGGACGGTGGTGGGGACAATGCTGTGCCTTCACAGAGCTTGTGCTCCTCCGCTCAGGGACCTCCTTGGACACTGGCCACACCAATCAAAGACCCACAGAAAAGGCTCAGTATTGGGGCACCTGGGTGCCTCAGGGGGTCAAGCGTCCAACTGTGGCTCAGGTCATGATCTCACGGCTCGTGGGTTGGGGCCCCGCGTCGGGCTCTGTGCCGACGGCTCGGAGCCCGGAGCCTGCTTTGGATTCTGTGTCTCCTTCTCTCTCTGCCCCTCCCCTCTCTTCCTTCTCTCTCTCAAAAAACAAAAAAAATTAAGAGAACTGTTTTCCAGGTGCTGTGGACGGAATGTCTGTGTCCCCTACCCCCCAAATTGAGAATTCCTTCCTAGGGCAAAGCCCCAAGCCCCTGTGTGACAGTATGCGGGGGTGAGGCCTTGGGAAGGCCATCGGGGTCAGGTGAGGTCAGGAGGGTGGGGCCCCGTGAAGGGACTGGTGCCCTCATGTGGAGAGAAAGAGGCACCGGAGCTCCCTCGCTGTGGGAGGACACAGAGAGAAGGCAGGGGTGGAGCAAGAAACACAGTGCTCGCCGGACCCGACCTTCCTGGCACCCCGATCTCAGACTCTCAGGCTCCAGGCAGGGCTGTGAGAAACGAATATATGGCACCTGCACCAACTATACACCAGGGGCTTCCTCTCTGTGGCCCGGGACGCCGGGCACCTCACTGGCCTCACTTGCACACTATCGCCCCTCTTGCTGCCCCCTACAGGCTGGCGTGTCCCGTCCTTCCGATACACAAGGCGCGTGGCATCAGCCCTCCGATCTGGGAGATGGTCTGATGGCCTGGGAGCCACGGCTCAGCGCTCACGGGCGCGGGCTCCAGGGGTCCTTCCGAGGCAGCCGCAGGCGGGAAGCGAGTGCTCCGTCACCAGGCAGGTGCAGGCAGTGAACGGCTCACGTCCACCGGCCGTGGCCTCCGCGGGCCCTGGAGCGCTCCAGCGAAGCCGGGGGGGGGGGGCAGGGGGGGGCAGGAGGGGGCGGCAGGGCCGCTGAGCCCACTCTGTCAGACATCAGTGTCTCTGCAGCGGTGCGGGCTGCAGAAAATGTGGCACCAGTCCTTGCTTCGTGCCAGGATGCTGTGATTTGCTAACAAAGCAAGGTCCAGACATCTGTACCCCTCCCCCTCCACCACACCCTTGCTGTCCTGCCAGTCTCTGTGCCAACAACTTGGTCTGGGAAGCAATTAGAGACTACAGGCCGGGATATGACCAAACACAAAAGAGCCCTGCACAGACCCAGGGGACCAGGGGCAGACAGAGGTCCCTCGGACCTCCCAGGAGCCAAACTCTAAAGCAGGGACGTGACGAGAGAGGGCCCCAGGAGCAGGCAGTGTGACTTTGTTGCCATGGACTCACAAGGGGAGGTAAGGTACTTATTTTGGGTCCCATGAAACTCACACAAATGATTAACGGCAGTTCAACTATTTAAGATAGAGTAAACCTGCCAACAAATTCAACTCAGCGGAGATGGGAATTTAATGCAGTGTAGTGGGAAATAATTAATCTTGCCTCTGTTCTACTGCATTGCTCAGAACACGTCTGATTCTACAGCTCCACGTCTGGAGTCGCCTGGGTCGGGGGGACTGAGGAACGAGGCGAAGAATTCGCTCCGCTGTTTCCTGTCGCCTACCTTGGGGTAGTGGTAGGGCTTCACTGTGGGGTAGATGGAGCCAGTGTAGGTTGGGAGCTCCATGACGGGCACGCGGGAGTCGTTGATGGTGGCGTAGGCGAGCCTCGTGCCGTCCGGAGACCACCAGTGGGCGATGTGGGTCTTCAAAATCTCCTCTAAGGGAACACAAAGCGGAGAAATGTGGACACACAATGGACACACACATGGTGCGTGGACACATCTGTGAGCTGGCCAGCAAATCATGAACCCCGCCTTGGGGACACAGACCTTCTACAATCTTCGAGTGGTCTTCACCGTGCCCTGGATATGCCTTCCTTCCACGGGGCTCAAGAAAAGCCTGGTGCTGACCACCAAGCCCCAGAATGAACCCCAATAAATCAAGGTCCAACTGAACAGAAGTTCATTGTCTGGAGAGCTTCTCTCTCTCTCTCTCTCTCTCTCTCTCTCGTTTGCACAAATTTGAACACGATGAGCCCAACGAGTGCTTTCTGAATTGAATTATTGCGCCACTGTGAGTTATTATTTTAAGATGCTTTACAAAAGCGAAGCTACAGGAAATCAATCCACGCAGAAGCAGGGCACATCCAGGCAGAACCGAGTGAGAAAGAAAGCTGTCTTGTAGGTTACATCCCGGAAAATCTCAGATCAGCTTGCGGGAGATGCCTGGGGATTCATGCCCACACACATACTCCCTCATGAACAGCCGTGCGAAAGAACAGGTTCAAAGGTCAGCACATTCCTCAGCCTTAAAGGAACGACGGATTTCACTTCCTGTGGCAGAAAAACAAAATGGCCTCATCTCCAACGGGGCTGAAATGCAAATGATAATTCTCATAGGCTTCCCCCAGAAATGCCCATTATTGTGTGTTAGTGCAGCCAAGTGTCTTGGCTAATCAGAGTTGTTACCTGTGGATGATTTTTGTGGGATCTGTGATCTATTCCAGAAAGAACAATTCTATTCTGCTTAAAACTCGCCCAGTGTACCAAGTCAGGGTGCTGGGGACCAGAGACCGATCTGGGTGCTAAACAGCTTTTAGGTCAAAGGATTGTCTCTTGTACACAATCCATATGCATCATAAAGAAATTCCCTCCAGATTTGTTTTTAAAGTAATCATCAATGGGGGCACCTGCATGGCTCACTTGGTTAAGTCTCCAACGCTTGATTTTGGCTCAGATCATGATCTTATGGTTCATGAGTTCCAGCCCTGTGTTGGGCTTTGCACTGACAGTGTGGAGACTGCTTGGGATCCTCTCTCCCTCTCTCTGCCCCTCCCCTGCTCACACACTCACTCACTTTCTCTCTCAAGAATAAATAAAAACAAAATAGAGTAATGATTGAAAAATTCTCCAATCACGTAATACAAGTCCCACTGAGCTGGCTATCATCAGGTGTGTGCCATAAACCAGCCCCACATGCCCGTATGGCAGAAAGCCGATGAGGAAGCTGAAATCATGCTGAAAATGGGTGCACATAACCCAAGGGACAGCATACGCTGGAACAGAGCCAAGGACAACTGGCCACAGAAGGAGAGGATCACGGGGGAAGGAACACGGAGGAGACAAGGGAGCTGGGCTAGCCTAGGTGGCGGACAG